TTTTTACGCGAGTGAGTTACCTCTGCTTAAACCAATGAAGGCAGGCAGTAAACTAAACATAGTCAGTTTTGTGTAAGGTCTCGCGCGCGCCTATCAAAACAAAAGCTGTGAAAACTACTTGTTAATTTGATTTAAATCATAATCTATCATTTAGAAGCTTTACAGGGGTATATGACTTTTCATAGTTTCTACAAGGAAAAGCGCACGTTGGACTTTTTTTCCGGCACGCACCCTATTTTGTTAAAAGTAACTTTACACCGATATTGATGAGAAATTAAAAAAAAAAAAAAAAGGAAAAGAAAAAATCACTTTGAAAATAGTCTTTCAAATCTAATTAAAAAATCATAGGAGAAATGTGTAGAGTAATTTTCCTGCACTTATATGAGTGTAATTCGATGTTCAGTTTGGGTTATTTTCATCGTTGATAAAAGTGTTGTACAGTTTCTAGCAAAAGGTGCGCTATTTGCAGAAGAATAATAACTACAATCCTTGAATATCTCAAAGCTTTATTTACTATGACAGTCAATGATGACTTCACCAATAATTCATCTCTAGACAGTAAATGAAGATGGAAAATTATTTAGCAAATAAAGAGAAGACCACATGCGTAATTCTTTCTTTACAAGTTATCGCTTTTCAGTAAAGTTCACGGACATATTCTACAGTAATTGGTGTATCATGCTACAAACCTGTGGCTTTAGACTTTCCTACCAAAACTTACAAGGTTACACACATCTTCTGGCGGAAATAACCGTTAGACTTCATGTCCAGTGCTTGGGAAGATGCCCCAAGGTATCCTCAAAGTCCTTTATTCATAGAGCTTTTATTCTATAGGTGTAATGACCGAGTTAAAATACCTCTCAGGGTTGAAATCTCCGACGGGCATCTCCATCAATTTAAAGCAGGAGTTTCTCCTCGCTTGTAAGATCCTATCGGCTGATCTAGACGCTAAAGGTGTTTCTTTGGAGCNACCTTGTGAATGACTCTCTGATCCAGAGTTATTTAAATGAAAACCCGAAAATAGCGCTATCTTGGACCCGGGAAGGCAAGGGGAGTTCAGATTCAAAGGCTGGCTTGCTGCTGATACATGTGCTAAGAAACGAGAGGATTGGCTAGTGAGGACGCAAAAGTCTATTTCAGGGTAGGTAAAAGGAGCATGATGATTGATTAAACAAATTTTTTAAATGAAAGATAACGAAAGTGAAATAACGACAGAGGAAAATTTTCATTGTCGAGCATAATGTACCCTTATGCTGAGAAATATTCTCCCATAATTTTCCACGACAGAAACATAAACAATGAACAAACCCAAAATTGTAATCAAAATGATACAATCTGTAAATTAATTATAGATATTATTCCATATCGAATGTCCACGTTTGTCTTGATTAGTAGCTTTCGCTTTTTTAAGCCATTTGCGCTTACATTTGTATCAAATTTAGTGTTACAGTGAATTTTTTAGTGTTAGATGTTAAACAGCCTAAAATTTAACTGTTTGATGTTATAGACGGAAAATTTTAGTGTTTAGTGTTTTCGAGGCACCCCCATCCAGACCCTCTTAGTTATCATATATTGTTTCAGAAAAGAGAGGTTTAATAACTGACAAAAAAAAGTTAAAGGAAGCAAATTGAAAATGAATAGTTTTCTTTTTGGGAGCAGTACATTTACACACCCTTATAAAAAAGAAACATAGTAGTATAATTTTAGGAAAATACCATGAAAATACCATGAAAATACCATGAAAATAGCGCTATCTACTGCGAAGAATCGTGCATCATACGTATTTAATACCGCAGTTCAAAATATATGAACTTCATATATCCATTGTATCTGAAAATATGATTGTTGGACAATTCGAACTATTCGATTACGTTCCAAGCAAAGCCAGGCTCTGAATGAAAATCACAGAGCACTCGGAAAGCTTGATTGCAAGACGAGTAAGAACCAGCTGCTTTGTAATTCTGACAGCTTCTTCTTAGCCAATTCTCGCAGTGTTTACCAACAAATAACTCTGGGACAAGAGCAGTTGTACCGAACACTTGTGGGCTCACAGATCTCAGAGCAGGTTCCTCTATTGAGACACGGATTGCTTCTACAGCAACCATTTTTACAAGTGGCGCCGCCAGCACAGTGAAAGATGTGGTTAAAAACCTTTCATTAAAAAAAATTAATAAAACAGAGCATTTTCTCCGCACAATGTTATTTTTAAGTTCCTAATATGTGTTCGATTGAAAAGTGTAACATAAACTCAGGTTTTTATTATCCAATTTTTTTTAGTTGGAATCACGGTTCCTTTCGATTGCTGAGAAATATCTTTTAAGCCCCGCTCTGATTGGCGATTTTATTTATACCGATCTTGACGTAATTTTCCTTTTACAGTTACCCTTATTTCGATAGCTTGATAAACAAGCGAGATCACCCAATATGAAGTATTTTCCAAAAAAATTTTCGGCGAGGCAGGAGTCTGTCATATTTGTATTTTTTGAGGTGAATCTAGGTTAGTAAAAACAGTTATCAGACGTATTTCCGCGTAATTGGGTCGGAAAAGCCTGCGAATGATATTCAAGATATTTTTGTTAATGGGTAGCTCTTGCACCTGCCAGGATCAGTTATTTACTTGAATTTTTTCCGTTAGTCGTCTCATTCCATTTTATATCTCATCATTCGAACAATTCATCACTTTTCATAAAAATTTCAGAGAGGAAATGTGTTAACCTTTAACACCCGAATAAGAGAGGACCTTAAAACACAAACTGGGAAAAATAGTTGCAGTTTTTTTTTTAAGTTTTCGGTTTTGCGGAACTTTTAAAATTTCTCAAAGTCATTTGCAGCTGCTACCTCGAGCTCAAAACAAACAATGTACTCCGTTTATAAACACATTTGGGGAAGACATCAGAAGCCACGTTTTGACGGGGCTAAGAAACATATTACATTATGAAATAATTATTTTTCTCAGTTGTTATTTTTACAATTTATCGTTAGTTGTACGCTTCTTTTATATCAAATATATCAAAGAAATGACTCATATCTCAAGATTAAAGTTGAGGACCTGGAACAGTCATTCTTGATAAAAATACCTTGTGACATGATAAAGTTTAATACCCTGGTAAATTCTTCTCCTTGCAGTTTGTAATAAATGGACCCTGAAGACTTTGTTGTCGGTAAAATGGTTGCCACTGTTTTAAATCTTCCCTTTTACGGTATATTCGAGATTAAAAGAAAAGAGATAATTTAGAATACAATAGGACACAATGCGTGACAACTATTGGCAATGGGCGGAAATAAGTAAAGAACTTAAAATAGTTGATTTAAAAAAAAAATTCGGAGCGCCTGGTTTTTTTTTCTTTTTTTCTTTTTTGTGCACTTTGTTATCAGGATATCATGCGCAGTATTTATGATTTTCCAAAGGGAAACGGGCTTAAAAGTAACGACTACAGACTTCATTTTGGGCGGTGTTTAATTGCAAACAAGGTCGGTTTTTGACATCAATTTTTAATGTCCAACTAGAGCTGCAGAATGACAGGCGAGAGGCGATATTGTTAATTTCGTACAGCATTTCAATAAAATACACAACGACAGAAGGTTTGTATAAGACAACCAATGGTATGATTACTTTGTTTTGAAGGAAAAAGAACGATGATGATCATATTCAATCGGTTCGTAGAGTTGAAGAATATGGCAAATAATCTCCCCTGTATTCAACGTCAAGGACCAACTTCATTAATCTTTTACGAATAAATAAAGTGCCAAAAACAATAAGAGCAACAAAGAATACTCCTCAACCCATTAGTTGGCAAGAATTAAACATCCATGACACGCATTTTACATCTGAGGGACCAGAAAATTGTAACGATCATCATGTATTGATGAAGTGAGTGATGGATAAAATGCAATGAACTAAGGGTTCCTGTCAATTAATAAAATCTGGTCAAAAATTTCAAAATTTCTTACTTTTTGTTCTCCTTGAATAAGAGATAGCTGTTAAGTCTAATTTGTCAAGAAAATTTTATATACAACGTGAGATTCGGCGCTGAAGGAATATTTTCAGTTAACCTGTACCGAAGAGTGAAAGGTATAATCAGAAAGGCCTCCATCAGATGTTGACGTTTCAGTCCGCAGGCTTTCGTACGGGATCTGCATCATTCAAATTTTGTTTACATCTCTTCTCACGCTGCACAGTAAAGGGGAATTTCTAGTACATTTTGCAAATCGTTGAGAAATAAAAGTCTTCATCAAAGGGCCACATAGAGAAAAGTCGCGAGAGAGCCTAGGTCCAAGACATCGAAGTTCGGTTTTTCTTTTCCTTAATGAATAAAGGCTGATAGTTTCTAAAGAAACTGTTTGGGGCTGCGTCGGTGGGGGTAACGAAATAATTTGAATATGTCAACAAAGTTGAAATGGTAAATTGGCCACCGTTACGATTATAAAAGCTGACGTTTCGAGCGTTAGCCCTTCGTCCGAGCAAGTTGCCATGTTCCCACCTATCACGTATCTCCATTTCTGCCTTTAAAAGCACATACTACCCACAATTTCTCTATTCGCTCCGACGAAGGGCTAACGCTCGAAACGTCAGCTTTTATAATCGTAACGGTGGCCAATTTACCATTTCAACTTTGTTGATATATTCAAATTATTTCTTTTCCTTAGCTTGCTTTGCCCACTTCTCCTTTTGTTTTTCCCGATAAATTTTTGAATTTCGCCTGATCGATTGTAAATTTTTTTCCTCAATTCACGAAATGATCTTTCCTGCAAATTTTTAGAGAGCTCTTCTTCACGAGACTTGCTGGAGGCGAGGGTGGGGTATCGATGCTTCGTTTCATTCATCGCATTGACACGCGTTTAAAAATTGTCGGACTGGGAAATGTATAGAGCAATTGTCCTGCACCTATATGAGTGCAATTCGATGTTTGGGTTCAGTTATTTTGATAGTTGATCAAAAAAGTGTTGCGCAGGCTCTAGCAAAAGGTGCACCATCTGCAGAAGAATAATGACTGCAATCCTTGAATATTTCAATGCTTTATTTATTATGACAGCTAATGATGAATTCAGCAATAATTCATATGATGTATACAGTATATGATGATTGACAATTATTTAGCGAATAAAGAGAGGCACACATTTTAACTTTTTCCTTTACAAGGTACATTGCTTTTCAATGAAGTTCACTGACACTCTTCAGTAATTGTTGTATCATGCTACAAATAATAGACAAATAGAGATTTCAACAGAAGTTAATGAAGCGATAGTTTACCAATTGTGCTTTGCAGTTCAGAATTAAAAATGTTTGTAAATGGTTCAGTTTTTTACTTGGGAAAAAGAACTATGGTGCAAAAACATCATGTTTAAGATAAAACAGAACTTAAACTCCTCTGGCTGTGGACTTTCCCACCAAAACTTACAAGGTTACTCATCTTGTGGTGCAGATAACGGCTAACCTTATGTCCTGTGTACGTTTAGGATATACCATATATGTAACCGCCGAGCTTAAGGTATCCTCAGAGACATTTATTCATAGAGATTTTATTTTAGAAGTATAATGACCGAGTCAAAATACATGCCGGGGTTGAAATCTCCGACAAGCATCTCCATCTCATTTAAAGCCGGAGTTTCCCCTCGCATATAGGGTCATATTGGCTGATCTTGGCGCGAACGGAATTTCTTTGGAGCTAAAGTCCGCAGCAGTTTGTGTCGTTGTTCTAACGATTTTAAATAAATCTTAGACACATAGTTAAACTAAAGGTACCAGAAAAAAGTGGCAAATTTACCATTCGAAAGGTACACGTATTTTAGTCACGATTTCTGCCGAATTAATTACCATAATGTATTACTTACAGAATATATCAATATTGCCTTATGGTTTTCCTGAACACATTTTACATCAACTAACGACTTCACCAGTTGGATCATTTAGTGATTTCCAGATAATATCAGAAGAAAGAATAAGCAGTGAAACTAAGAATTATACGGGTTAGAATGAAATTTGCTCTCATCATATGTTATCCCCGTTTTGTAAAAGGAAATAGAACATGAACTGAAATTTCAGGAATACTGATCACCTAATTACAATTTTTTGAGGCGTTTTCTTTTAATGTCTGCCATAGTGATCTTTCAATCTTTTAATTGCCTCCGATCCAGAACTGAGTGGTTGCATTGGAGCTTGAAGTACAACGAAATTTGTTATTCACAACATAATAAAAACCAAAGTTGTCCTCGTCTGATTTGGCTCCGTTTCCATTGAATTCACAGCCTCTCTGTAAAGAACTGTCGATATGCAGATGAAAATTCCCTTTTTCATACCATGTATCCGCAGTGCAATTTACACACTCATTTCCCCGGATGTTGACATATTCGTATGGCCGACAAGCACTTTTATTCGTGGGTACGTCTCTGATGATGTCAAAGTCTTCAAGCGAGGCTCTCAGGTAATCTGTATAGACGGTGCCATCTGTGTTGTATCGACAAGTAGCTCTCCAGTGAGTCGACTGATTTCTGAGCCAAAGGAGGTAGGGTCGTTTGATGAGGTAGGCCAGCCAGTTATTTGGTTTATCACCATTGATGGCTTGGTAATCATCATAAAACACAGTTTTCTGTAGATTGTAGACTGCAGACTGTATTTATTGAGGAAAACGTTGCAGTTAAAAAACTGAATTGCGTCTCTTTACAAATAAGAAATAAGAAATGATCCATAACTACTACTTTGATAAAATTACAAAGACGACTACTCTTAAAAATCATTTAAATGCTTCCCTCGTACTCTTAACAATGAAAGAATTTCCAAATCTGTTTGTCTTTACAAGAGGCGTGGCAAACCTCCTCTGCCTTCTCAGCTCATATGAAATAGAAACTGAGGGAGGCAGGAAGCTGGTAATCTTACTACGTGGATCATTCTGTCGGAGGAAGCAAAATTGGTGAAGAAGTTATGATCGTTACCATCAAAACTGTCGCTTATGAAACAAAACAATTATGGAAACAACATGAAAATGTATGTTTTTCACATTTTACCGCTGAATGTGCTTTCCTCCTACGCTCATGTATGAGATATGTACAGAAGATTCAAAGAGAATTCAAATACCTCAAAAAGATCACTGTTGTTAACGTTGGATAAACTAAACGACTCAATCAGGTTCCATGCGAACCCGGGCTCTGAATCAAAATCGCAGAACACCTGGAAGATTTGACTTTTGTCGTCGTTAAGTGTATACAATCCAGAGGCAGTGGACCCGGCTGCTTTGTAATCCTGACAGCTTCTTCTCAACTGAGTCTCGCAGCGTTTTCCAACAAACGGTACAGGGCAGGAGCAGTTGAATCGGACGCTTGTGGGCTCACAGATCTCAGTGCAGGTTCCTCCATTGAGGCACGGGTTGTTCTTGCAACAGCGATTGGTACATGTGACGTCATCTCCACATGGAACGATGTGATTGGGAGTCTTCTAGACGACATTAATAAAATAACCAAGCATTTTATTTTTTAGAACTAAGCTATAATTCTGATTCTGATTTGAGTTTGACAGAAAAGTGAGTTATTTACTAAGCTTATTTCATCAAATTTTCAAGCCTTTAGGTTTCTTTTCGATTGCTAAGAAACCCCTAGTGCTACGCTGTGAGAAGCGACTTTATTTCATGCCACAATGGTCCTTCGAAACTATCCGTTTTTCAAGTGTTTCGCCCAATGTCATATATTCTCTAATATCAGTGAAGTAGGAGTCTGTGAATTTGCTATATTTCTACTTTACTTAGTCAATCTAGTTTGATTTAAAAAAATATGCGTTTTAACAAGGAATCAAGAAAAAAACGGATTTTTCCATCTTCATAGCAACTGTCTAACACTTTCTCCACGAAATAAATAATATTCTGGCCTGTAAATGATGTACGGGTTTAAAAATGATCCTCCCAGGTGAGAAACTTCGTCTCTAAAGTTCTTTGAAGCTTTTAATTCTTTGATATTCCATCATTAAAATATTCATCTCCACTGACGAGAATTTAAAAAAAAAAAAGAAATGTCTCTACTTTAAAGACCCGAAAAAGGTACTTTAAATGCAGACTGAGAAAAAAATTTTTTTCTAAGTTCAATTTTGAGTTTTTGGTTTTGCGCGCAAATCAATTGGAATTTCCCAATGTCATTGGCAGCTGTTACGTTGAGTTGAAAAGTAAACAGTGTTTCGTAAATTGAAACACTTTTGGGAAGATATTACCATCCATTAGGAAGAAAATTTTTGACGGGGTAACGCTAAGAAGTATATTACATTATGAAATAATTCCTTTAATTGTACTGATTATTTGTATAACCTATCGTCGGGCAGATCGAATCGGAAGCTTCCTCGATATGAAATACATATATATATTTAACAATTATTCGCCGAAGACGAGGTGAATATCGTAGAATAATCCCCGAGACGAAGTAGAGGGGATTATTCGACAATATTCACGGAACCTGAGGCGAATAAATGTTTTAGTATAGTTTCAGAGCTGAGCAACAGTGAAATTTCTAAAACCATAACATTTTAGTAACATTTATTAACATTTTATCTTAAAATTTTGTATAAACCGCGCGGAGCGGTTTATGTAGCGTCATATAAGGAACTGCTCGACCAATCAGATTGCTGGAAACTCTTTGCTCAGCTCTGAAATTATACTAAATATATATATATAAATTCTTAAACTTGATTTGAATGTATTTCAAAGAGCGCTCAACTCTTAGAAGAGCATTGATAATTATAACAAACTGGTTCAAGACTTCAGAGGTATTTCATCGTTTTATTACGACAGCTCTGTTTCGTATGGTCGAATTACTTGATGAGTGTGGTCATTTTCGACCATACGAAACAGAGTTGTCGTAATAAAACGATGAACTACCTCTGAAGTCTTGAACCAGTTTGTTATAATTATATATATATTGTAGTACACGAGGACGGACAACTTCGAGCTAAGAAAGACATATGCTCAAATAAAAAGTCTAAGAAAGTTTAATAAAATACGTTTCGGTCCGAGACCTTCATCAGTTGTAATACAATGACTTACAAATTCCTTAAATAGATTTATACAGGGCGTGATGACACATGTAAAAAAACAGTAATTATTACGCGAAAAATTATCACAATAAAAAGAAATGGAAAAATTGTCGAATCCACTGAAAATGTTATGGAACCAGCGTTGACTTGAAGGGCGAGAATTGTACTAAAATTCCCAATCAACGCTGAGACTGGGACCTTTGATGCCCGCCCAATTTGGAAAAATTTCTCCGCATTAATTATAGTTTATTCTTTTTTTGGAATGAAATTCCTGGCGCTTATTCAAGCCGAAGGTTGCCAGAGAGAACAACACAAAAACAGAATAGAAAAAGAAGACATCGCCAATTTCTATTCTGTTTCGCCAATTTCTGTTCTGTTTCACCAATTTCTATTCTGTTTCGCCAATTTCTATTCTGAAAAGAATCTGATAAAAAGTAATAGCATACAGGTTTTTTAGAACAGAATTTGAAACAGGATATTGGCGGAGATGACCCCTCATAGCTGACAATTCTCAGTCTGATTATCGCCTAAAGCGTGAAACTCGAGTAACTAGTAATTATTTCCTTCTTCAGTTCACATTTGCACATTTATATATATATATATACCTAATATGTAACTGTTATGCCGAGATGAAGACTAACTACCATTCATATTGAAAATGCTAAATCAAAAAAAAATCCAGTACCTTAAAGAAGTATTCCCTTCGCAGTATGTAATAAATGGATCCTGAGGTTCTTATCTGAGAGTTATTGTGAATAAGATGGCTGCCTTCGTTCAACTCGCAGTATTTGATGTCGTCCTTGACTTTGTAGTTTATCGACAAACATCGGCAGTTGTTGGTGCACTGCGAGTAGCACCGAACTAGGCTTGAAGTGACAGAAGTGTGGAAAACATGGCCAACAAGCTCTTTGTCTTGATCGCCATCTTCGTACACATTTAGTGGGATCCTTTCACATTTTCCAGTAGCGCAGTCACCCCTAACTTGCAAAGCTGTAATGAGTATAGAGAAAAATTTTGCTCCCAACATTTTTATGGTTTCCACACCCAACTCGAGCAAGCAATCTTTCTCATAATGTCTTTCTTGAGTAGAATACTTGTTTAAGACATCACCTACTCCTATTGGCCAGTGTAAGAAAACATGTAAGAAAACCAATCAAATCAGATTATCGAGATGATTTTCATGATATGAATACCGTAGAACCCTAGTAATTCTAATGAAACTCCCCAAAAATTTCCCGCTGACGGAAAAATTAGTTCGAGTTAGCGGGGATCGAGTTATCGCAGTTAATGTTGAATTTCACAATTATTCTGTTAATATTTATTAAAGAATAATTTTTAACTATTCTTGCACGATCAACCATCATTTTGTATATTTTGTTTTCTAGGGAATTTTTTAACATTAGCCTACGTCAGAGCCAAGAACTAATGCTTTGACGAAGAGCTAACGCGCGATACAGTAGAAGCTTAGTAATTCTTAGTGAAGGTGAACATATCCGCTTAACACAGGTGAAAATTACAGAGAGGAAAAAAATTCGGACTTCGACAGCAGACAGCTTCAGCCAGGGAGACGGCATCTCAATCTCATTATTTCCTCTTGACAGTTCACGGTTATGTAAGTGCTTCTGACACTTTGACGCGTATTGACCGACGTTTTTATTCAAATTTTAAGTTTTCGAGGTACATTTGAGCCGAGGGAAGTAAACTGAGTTCAAGTTAACGGGGAGTTCGAGTTAGCTGATAATAAGTAACTGCAGTATGGTTTGGTATCAGTAGGCAGGCTAACTGACCTTGGAAGATTACAGTGACCTTGAAAGTTTTTAAGTTCAGTTCATCCATTTTACCCTGCATGGGAAAATTTGTCTTTATTATCTTGCATCTCTTGCGAGTCAATAAACACTAATTAACATTATTCTTTTTTTCTGTAGGCGAAATAAAAAACAGAAAATAGGCTGATTAATTAACTCGAATACTCAATTATTGATATCTTGACGCCAAATAAACGATAGCCCTTACCATGCAAGTGTTAATGTGTGAGGTCAATAATAAATCTACCACTAGACCAAGCTAGCCACTCTTAATATTCACCAGCAAGAGAATGCGAAAAGATGTCACACTTTTATCTGTTGATATCGAAACATATTTGAGATTAAAAGAAAGGACGAAATTAAGAGTACAATAGGTTACAATGCGTGATAACTATTAGCAAGGAACCCCCTGGAGAGCGACAAAAAAAAATTCGAAAAGCCTTGTGTATTTCGCAATTATGTGATCAGAATATCTTACGTTGTGCTTAAAATACTCCAAAGGCAAAGCTGAACGGATTTTTACTGAAGAGTAACGTCGAATTATTTCCTTTCAATGAGACGTATAATAACAAAAAAGGCCTAATTTTTACAACGTTTGATGTCTGCCGGATTACAGCTGCCAAATGACGAACGAGTGATAATGTTAAATACGAACCTCATACAGAAAAAATATTCAGCAACTTATGGTTTGTGGACCACCAATCCTTGATTACTTTGTTTTGGAGCAAATTACTTTGAGTTGAAATTGCCTCTCTGTGTTGAGGGAGAAGATCTAGGAAATAATCTTCCACGTATATTCAAGGTCGATAATCAAAGAATAATCAAGAGTGGTCGTCCGTAAAAATCGAGCAGAGGTGTTGAAAACAAAAAAATTGAAATTTTTTCAAACTTTGCCAGAACATAGCTACGAATGGCCTTAGTTACGGAAAAATATCAAAAATTCCCAAAAAAATTATTTTGGGAGAACGGTGGCATTTTGTGTTTTGGGGGTTCGTAACCGTGTTTTCTCGGTGAAATAGTGCATGTTACTGCCGTTGTGCGGGATGTCACGCACTCATTAGCTAGATCCCGAGAGGCGCAGCGAGTTAAAAAATACATGTGCTCGATCGAAGTGGGGAATCGTTTCAACGCCCGTTTAACGTCATCGTTTATATTATAAGGACACAAACGTAAGTTTTTTTTTGGTTTCGTTTCTTCTTTGTCTAGCCTTTTTTCCGTATTTATAGTTGTAATTTCCCTTGTTTCCTTTTAGTTTTCGAAATCGTACAACGTTCGTTCAAGATTGTAAAGTCCATTTCATAATTACAAGTACGCGTGTCCAAGTTTGTGTTGTCGTACCGTTTTATGCGTGCACAGTGCACCTCAGGACAACGGCCGAGAAAAACTTATTTCGACAGCAATTCGGAAACCACATAACAATTCTAAAACAAGAGATGTTTCTCAAAGGTTCTGAAGTATTTTTTCCAAGATTCCTTAAAAAATGATTTTTTTACGAATTTTCTAATTTAGGTAAAATTTCACCCATCAAAACATAGCTCAACTTTGGCGACTAAAATCGGCCCTTGTTACATGGCTTCATAAACTGAGACAATAACCATTGTCAAGATCAAGGTTTCTTCTCCTAGAAACTGCAATAAAATTTTTGGGCTACTTAAACTACGAATTTTTAGAGCGATTTATATAACTGTATTTGAGCTCAAGAAGCGCGTTCTGTGACCAACGTGACTTGCACGTCACATTAAGAAAAACGTTATCAAAACACTCAAATTCACTCTTCTATCGTACAAAACCTTCGAAACAGGTCTCCTTCATGTTCAAGATACATATAGTTTTCTCCTGAAGCCAAAAAGTCAAGGCAATCTGGGCAATTTCCGATANTACAAGATATCCACAGAGATAGTTAAAAGTAAAAATATTAAATAAAAATGGCTTACCTTGTTCCATACGTATGTTGTTTACTCTTGGTGCCGTTATTTTACCGATTTCATTTGATTTAAGCGGTTTTTTTTAATCCTGGTTTTCTAACACATAAAGAGGTAAGGTAGAAGAGCAAACGAAATAATGGCAAGCAAGAAAGAGGAAGGCGAAGTGCATGGGCTTCCTGTGTGTAACGCAATCACATACCATCAATTGCACTGCAGTGGCGAGAAATGGTAGTTTAGTGATTTTTCCTGCATTAACTGCAATGGGGAAGGACTAGAACAGGAACATGAATTCCCTTCAAGCTAGTCCACTCAAATTATAACCCACCCATACCACCCCAGGGGAGGATATCCATCACACAGTAATCTCGTGCGTGGGATTTAACGTCTCTTGTCCCCTTACCCTGCAAGAGACGGGACCTCCGGCTTTACTTCCCATCCGAGAAGACGAAGGAATGTGAGTAAAGCGTCTTGCTTAAGGACACAACGTTAAGCCCCAGCCAGGACTTGAACCTGGGCCGTCTGACCCAGAGTCCTGCGCACTGACCACTGGACTACTCACGCCTCACATGGATAAGTTTTGAAAACGGTGGAGCGGGCTAAGGTGCATACCCTTGGCATTGAAACCACTTCTAAAGGTAACATTCTGTGCAGTTATAGCCTGGGCAATTCCTTCTGACGTATCCAAAGTTTTTGTTATTGTTGGGTTGGTATTAGTTGCGAATATGGCCGTTGTGACAACAAAAACTGGAGCGGCCGCTGGCCATCGCAACTGTTGTAACGCTATACCCAAGACTGCTTGCGCGCGAACACTAGAATTGTAACGTGTTTACGTGGTAAAATTAAAATTCTCGGTTAATTTGGTCTTACCAATTTTGGTCCATTCAAGCCGGATAAAAATCAGTCGCTCGCGATGAGCAATCAAGAATCATGGCACTTGGTCGACGAATGTGTGATATCACCGCTTCACAGCAGCCTTGAAGTGACTCCTGAAGATTCGGTAAGCCAGGTCGATTCTGGTCATTCGAAAGCGCTTTCTCGCTCTAGTTCTTCGTCGTCCTCGTTAAGAAGAAGAAGAGACGCTAAAATAAAGGCCTCCATGGCAAGCCTTCAAGCAAAACAGCTTGCCGAACGAGTTAAGAGAGACAATGAAGTACGTGAACAGGAGTTTCAAGAAGAAATGGCTCAAAGGGAATTAGAGTTGAAACTTGAATGTCGAAAACGAGAGCTCGACCTACTACGAAAGAAAAGAGAAGACGAAATGGCTGTGATTTCCGCTCAAAATCAAGCTGAGGTGGCACATCTTGAGCATGAAATACTGGGTCAAGAATTTAAAGAAGGAAAGGCCTCTAATGATGAGATCTTCAAGGTCAGTAAATCTTCGCCATCTTTGAAACATTATGTAGTGCCTAGTCCTAAAGCAACCTCTGAGGTTGAACGCAAAGATAGTCCCAGTAGTGAAGTTGAGCCCAGGATTACTAAGGGATACGTTTTCCAAGAACTCAAAGGAGATGTTTACACAAAGTCATCTCTGGATAGAAAAGTTGTCTCATATGAATACTCTCCATTGCGTACAATTTCCAAGCCCTTGCCAGTAAAGGATCTAGAGTTCCTTGCAGCTCATAGCAATAGCCTCACTTTAGGATCTACTCTGGTACCAGTTACCCAAGCACGTGAATCAGATATTTTAACACTCAGTACTGCAGTGCAGTCGCCTCAACGGGGATTATACAGTCCTGAAAGAAAATACTCGTCTCAAACTGCTACTACCCCTGTTAGTCTACCCTTGAGGCCTCCATCTTACAGAGATTTGTCTTCACCTGGTTATGTGACCGCGTCCCAGCGCAAACCTGCGTCGTTTGATAATAGTAATACAGCTGCTCTTGCAACAACCTCTGTTACTTGGTCATTTTGCCGTGGGCCTGGTGGAGAAGTCCCTCCGACAGTTAGTTCCCTAGTGGGGGATGGCAGTGTTGTTCTGGCATCAATGCCTAGTGGTAGTTGCCATGACAACTTAACCCAAACTCCTCGCAAGTCAAACTTCACTGCCCCATCAAACCACTCTCAACCATCTTACGTAACACAATGGGCCCCAGCCAGCCGGAGCACATCAACCCCTCACTTTGGTGGACCTAGTAGAAATGACAGTCATTCAGA